TTTCGGCTTCAAAAGCTCTTTTTAAATTCAGTTAAAAAATTTAAAATTTAAAATTAGTACAGATCGAGCATATTAATAAACACTTGAAAATCTTGAAAAGAGACTGTCCAGATGACTTTTTATTAGATGTACTATTTTTTTAACTTGGATATCATTTTTTTTCTTCATGTCCTTTCATCTCAAGGTCTAGACGATCCGTTGGAGGGTTCTACTATGAGGGAACACTCTCCACTGCAAGATTTTTGAGCTGCACCTTTCCTCAACAGTATAAGGTTGCAACCTTATGCAAACTTTTTCTTTAAAAAAGAATTAAAAATTATAAAAAATTAAAATAAAGAATTTATTTGAAATATGTATTGGGTCCAAGTCAGATATGGACGTAACCTCAACCCGACCCAACCAGACAGGATCCAAGTCAGATAGTTAACCCCGACCTCTATGGACCTGACCTACTGGGACCCATACCAGGTACGGGTCAGCTTGTCAGCTGCTTGACGCGACCCGATTCCCACCCCTAATGTTTATATAAAACATATTTGAGGAGAAACTCACTACTATGCAACAAACTGCTGATCAAATAGGGACTCTGTCCTTATTTCAATCAAAACTGTAGGATATTTTCAAAATAAATACCAATTATAGGCATTAAAATCACATTTGAATATTATCTTAAGGCATCTTTGTGATTTTTAAATATTTTTTATCAGTCTCAACGTGACATCAACTCATTGACGGTTACGCACCGGCCCCCATGTGGTCAAGCATGGTAAATTAGGCCACAAATCCATTACGTATATTATTTTTCTTTTCTTTGTTTAGATGTTATTTTTCCAAGAAAAAATGTAATAAATTAAATACAGGTATTTTATTGAAAAAACTGCGATCATATGTATTTAACAAATTATTCATAGGCACCCTAAGATTGATCTCTAAATAAATGAATAAATTGTCTCATTTTGAAGTGAATTTTGCCCATTAGATTTTGTCTGCATGTCCTTATTTTCATTTTAGAATTTAAATAAACATTTTGATTGAGCATTGTTCTTTGAGACCCCTTTTTTTATATGGAAAAAAAATTTATATAAGACATCAACCTTATATTATAAAATTAAAATGCAACTAAAACTCACATGGAAAAATTGTTTTGATATTGGAAAACCATCCAATGGATCATTCCCACATGAAAATATATTTATATTAAAAAAGAAAAAAAAAAAGATTCAAGTTTTTAAAATAACGTTCTTGTAAAAAAATTTTAAGACGGCCATTTTTATGATTTTGAAATATGAGTAATGATCCTATGAGACCTTCTTACATTTTTGTGAGTAGGACCCCAAATGATAACTATCAAATTTAATATATATCTAGAAAAAAGTTAAATTTAACACCCATGTGATAACTTTTCTGAAGATCTACATCAAATTTAATAGTGATCTTTTAAGATCTTATTCACATTAATATAGAAAAATATCTGTGTCATTACTTTTGAAATATTTATACAAGATTTGTATGTTTTTGAGACGCTTCAAATTTTATAACCAGGTGTCAAATCAAAGCCACTCTTACTTTTGAATACTCGCGCTTATCTTACTTTAATTATTTAAAATTGACGCGAGTGCGTAGTATTTTAATTATTTAAAATTGATGCTAGTGGTAAGCATAAAAAGCTTACCATATATATATATATATATAATATAGGACAGCAATAATTAAAGATAAATGGCATTGGCATTCATTGAACCTAACCACGAAAATCCACACGTTTACGATAAGGAAATGTACTCCAAAAGCAACATTTCCACATATATCCACATGCCTTGCGCAAAAAAAAAAAAACAAAGGGAAAGGCACCCAACGCGCCCTCGCTTCCATCTATAAAGGCCCAACCCTCCAATACAAAGTTGCAAACCCTGTTTCTCGTGTGTGTGTGAGTGTGAGGAAACAGAATGGGTGGGTTTAGAGTTGTTGTGATGCTTCTATTTGTGTTCATTGGTGTTTGTGATTACGGGGCGAAGGGCATGGAAACCAATCCCAACTTTGGTAAGTTTTCATAAGCAGGTAGAAAGTTCTCCTTCGGGAGATAAGAAAAACAGAAAATAGGGATTCTTATTTTTCAAATATGGTAATTTAGTTTTGGTGCTGGAATACAAAGTATTTATAGCCGGCAAACAATGGATAAATTGTTTTTACAGTGTTTTACCATTGTTCCTGATAATTTATGAATAATGGGGTCTCAACCCCTTTTACAGATGATGCAAACGGTGCACCATCGAATGGCATTTTCCACGATATGGTATTCCGTTTCGGCATCGATCGACTAAACAATGACTGCTACTAAACAATATATTACTAGCTTTGGCTAGTGATGAAGGCTTTAGGCTGAAAACTAACAGGCCCTCTTCCCCTTCTGAATCTTCATTCTCTCTCTTTTTATGGTGCGTAGCTCTTTTATTTCTTAGTACTCCACTCACTTTATTTTCTTAAACCTGTTTTCTTTTTATTTTTTATTTTTTATTTTTTATTTTTTTTTGAGTGGTGGTGGTGGCAGGTGACACTTGCAGCCCATGCTGCAATAGGGGCATCTGCACCAGGTCATGTCCCCCAATTTGTCACTGCTCGGACGTGTGGGAGAACTGTCCCATCTGGTGCAAAAAATGTGATTGCACCGAAGGGGATTCCAACTCCGAACAATGTGTATGCAAGGATACCTACAACTATTCCCCACCAGATTGTCCGGCATCAGGCTTTGCTGTTAAAGGGTTTGAAAGCCAGCTGAATTTGAAGTGAAGTTTCATCAGCTAATTATCTAAAACTTACTTACATAAATGGAAGGGTCATCATCGTATATGACCCGCATAAATAAAAATAAAAATGTGACTCTTCACTTGGCGTCTGGGCACTGTTTGTCCATGGATATGTGGGGAAGAATCATTTCTATTTTTTTTTGTTTTGGATAATGCAGTGGGGTTTTTTTTTTGGATAATGCAGTGGGGTGGACAGGGCTCT